GAGCAGCTCAGACACAGGTAGTTGGAGGCAGGAGGTGGGTCAGAGGTCCCCAGCTGGTCTGGCGGGGTGGGGAGTGCACATGGCCATGAAGTGAGGAGGGGGAGGAAGATCTGAGAGAGGCTGAGACTCAGGACCTCGGGGCCGGTCGAGAGTGCAGCAGCCCCTGGAGGCACAGCGTCCGGCCCCGCCAGCCCTGGGGGCTCTACCTTTGACGTGCTTGTCCTGGAACTCGGTGAGGAAGCGCGCGATGCGGTCCGAGGGGATGGCGAAGGAGATGCCAGCTGCGACCTTGAGCGTGTTGATGCCAATGACCTCACCGTCCTGGGTGTGGGGAGAGCAGAGGGCGATCACTCCGGGGCCCAAGAAGCTGCTGCCCTCAATGCAAAGCATTGTGTCCGGCCCCAGAGCCGCCCTGGCCGTCCGCCTGCCGGAGAAGTCCCTGGGGCCCAGAGGCTGTCCTGGAGGTGCCCTGGGGCTCACATCTGGGTCAGGGGCCCTCTACTCTCCCACCGTTTCCTCCACATCTGCCCTCTGCCCTCGCGGGAGCATGCTAGCCACCCCTTGGAAGCAGTGCCCACTGACCCTGGACCCCCCAGGCAGGGTTCTGAGGGGCTGGGGCCGAAAGAGGGTGTGACAAGGACTGGGGGACCAGGTCCTCCTCTCCCCCTTCCTCTGGAAACAGGGTGGGGGCGAGGGGTGCCAGGGAAGCTCTGTAGCACCCCCACTCCCTCCCTTTGGAGTCGGCCTCACACCCTGACCCTGTCCTGACCCCCACAGGCTGGGACCCCACCAGCCTGGGCTGTGCTGCTCCCTGAATTCCTTTCTCCTGCATGTCCCCATCCACTCGACCTCAGCCTCCACCGCCAGGTCAGGGCCCCCTCCTCCAGGAAGCCCTCCCTGCCCGGTGTCCCTCCAGAGCTCGCTCCCTGCCCCTCACGTGCACTTGGGCATGACCATGTGTGGACCCTCCCCCCACAGTAGCCCCCCCACCTGTGGAGACACCTGACAATTCCCAGGGCCCTGGAGCTATGGACTGAGCCTCCTGGTTTATCCTGAAGTCTCACTCGGGTGGGAATGAGCCTGACTGTGGGGCTCAGGACAGACCTGGGGGAGGGGACCTGGGAGGAGGGAGAGGGAATGAGGACACCCCTCATCTTGCACGTAAACTCGAGGACAGGGAGGTGCAATGGATGACTGGCCCCAGCCTTGTCTCCTGCCCCAGGTCCTTGATGGGCACCCCTGCCTGGGCTGCTCCCGGGCCCTCTTGCTCCTGGACAAGGAGCGTTCCCGGGGGCGCGGAGGCTCAGGGCGACAGGGGCTCTGGGTCACGTCCTCCTGGCCTCCAGCCCAGCTGCGTTCCTGACCCTCATCCCTGTCTCGAGACGTGCCCCCTCCTGTGAGCGGAGCTCCAGTGAACCAGCGGCCCGCCCTCTGGACCTGGGGGACACTTACCAGGTTCACCAGGGGTCCCCCGGAATTCCCGTACTGCAGGGGAAGAGACGCAACGTTAGCCGAGCCCTGAGCCCCGACCCAGCGCTCCCGAGGCACTGCGTCAGCTCTCACATTAACAGCACAGACGGAGCCAGTGTATCCCCAGCAGCAGCAGAGGCCTCGCCACGTCCCCATTTCACAGATAAGAAGCCTGAGGCCCACAGAGGCCGAGCGGACGGCCGTCCGATGACCGGGTCTGGCCTGGGCAGTGCTCTCTGCACGAACCTCCAGGCTCGCTTCCATGTCTCCGCCACTCGGGGGCTGGGCAGCACGGGGCGGCCAGGGGATGGGACACGAGTTCTCATTCTGGGACCTCAAGGAGCCGTGACAAAAACTAACATTTCCTGCAGATGGCCTGAACCACGGCAGACCCAGAGGGGCGGGCGCTGGGGCGTGGGGCAACGTGCTTCGTGGGTGCAAAGGTGCCACCCTTATACTCCTAAGAATGAAGACGTGCTGACCCGGGCGTGCAGTGTGGGCAAAGATAACTCAGGGGCGTGGCTGTGCCTCTGTGCCCTGAAGGGCTGGCCCCAGGGGGGCAGGGGCCACAGACCCGGGCAGACCGGCACCACGGGATTTTCTAGCCGGTGGACGTGAGGGGTGAGGGGGGCTCTGGGAGGGGCGAGCCCCCTAGGCCGCGGAGGACTCACGTTGATGATGGCGTCCGTCTGGATGTAGTCCATGTCCGAGTCCCGCAGGCCCAGCTCCTTGCCGTCCCGCTGGGCCGTGCTGACGATGCCCGTGGTCACCGTGTTCTGCAGGGCGAAGGGGCTGCCGATGGCCACCACGAACTCGCCGGGACGCAGGTCTGCCGAGTGGCCCAGCTGCAGCGCCGGGAGCTTTTTCTGGGGGGCGAGGGGGACGACACGGAGGGAGGCTAGTGGCGCACGCTGGCTCGGGACACGGCCACGC